TTCCAAAAAATAGCGGACAAGCGGGGGGGGGGGGGTTAAGTAGTAAAAAAAGTAGACTGTACAGCTTTAGATTACGTACCATTTCATCATAAAGCTTTTGAATAAAAAAAATGTCCACTATTTTGTGAAAAAAAATAGTGAACATAATGTGAAAAAAGTGGACTGTCCACTCAAATAGTGGACACCTGGCAACCCTACATAAATACAGTATCTCCACTGCTTATATTCAGGCTCTGACCTGCAACTATAAAATGTATGATAAAGTATCACTTTAAATTTATTATGATCTTTGACCACCATTTTATGAAATTATGAGATGCTAGAAAGGAGAAATTAAAAACATGAACACTATGCTATAAACGCAGATAAGACTAGGAAAACTTAGTATTAAAAACTAATTGACATTATAAAACTATTTTGTGAATAAAAACTCTTTACATACTAAATATTATGATGCCAAAGTAACATGTATATAACTCTTATTAAGGTTAATGATTGGTAAAATACAGAGGACTAAAAAGATCAAGCAAAGAACATTTAAATAAGAAGAAAACACTTACTGGGACCCTAAAACCTAAAATAGTACTACTAATAAATAGTGTTTATTATTAATATTAATAGTGTTAATAATAAGATTAGTTTCCTGTGTGAAGCAATGGCAGCTAAAAGACAATCTGCAACTCCTCTAGGGATCATTACAGTTCTCTACAGTAAGAAAAGCAAATCAAACTGTTCATAGAACCAGAGATACTGCTACCAGTATTAACAAGCAGAATTATAGGAGCAGAGTGCAAGAGGCTATAGGAAAAAAAATCCAACAAATTTGTGACCTGGAGTTTCAGGTTTCTCCAGGTCAGAGAGACAGATTCTCATCCTATTTTTTGAATTCCTTGTTTTCCTGTGCTTTTTTTAAAATAAGATCAGCCTGAAAATTAATACTGCACACCACATGCCACATTTTACTAGACCTGAATATATATTTATCACTCAACTATTATTTTGTAAGCATGTAATATTTTTCTTTATGGCTAAACTACATTTTTTAAAATTAATAGTACAGTTACTGTACAAAAACATAACCACATGTATACAATTTACAATATAGTATTTCAATTAAGATATAACATCTATAATACAATGGCTTCTGCTTGGAATTTGGCCATTTTAAACTACACAATGGCTATGTTTTTTTTCTTGTGACTTCTGCTTTCCTAGTGGAACAAGACCCCTTTTCCTCCCTACCACCAATAGAACCTTAATCCTACCACAATTAAGAGTCAAAGGACAGGTGATAATTGTTTGCAATTTAGGCAGACAGTATAAATGTCTCTTCTTCTATACAGTGTTCCAGTCAAAAACATGGAGAAACTGACTTTAAAAATAAGCTATGATACATAATCAATGTAAGACTAATAAAGCTATACATGCATTGCAAGCTAGCATGAAGTGTGAATTCAGCTCTTACAATTAGCTTGTGGTTCAGCCAGTGTGAGGCTTAAAACCATAGCACTGTACTCAGTTTAAATCATGATTTAATTATGAATAAATGTATGTGTCTTACAAACAATAAATACCGGCAATGAGAGAAGGGCCATTTTGTCCCTTTCACATTGGTTACAGGATTATATCAATAGTTGTGATAATCTCCAGCTCCAGAAGACTTCAGGGAAGTTCCTTCTGAAAAGCATTATATTCACTGATTCTACCCCACTGATTAGACTTTAGCTCTGACTAGTTGTGTGGGTCTTATCTACCAGGTCTGCACACATACATCTCTTAATTTAAGGTGAGAAAAACACCCTAAAACTACATGACATTATCTCTCCCAGACAGACTTATTATCATGAAATATTTTCCTAACATGCAAACTTTCTACACATTTTCGGACTGAAGCTTGAACAAACACAAGCACTCCAAAATCACCAACTTCTATTTATTTAATTAGCATTATATCCTGCCTTCCCTTCAGAAGGAAAACTTGGTGCCCAAAACTTTCTGTTAGACTACTTTCTTTATAATGGGGTAAGACCAAGAATGTCTCCTACTCTTTCCACCATCTGGCTAGGGGAACTCCTAAAATACAAAGGTTTACAATACTTTGCCAGATCTGTTCTGGAAAGGAACCTTGATACTGTTAAGAAACAGCCGTGGTCCAACTGGGAGCCCATACTTATTAGCACCTTCCCTCCCTTCAGACATTTTTAATTCTTACCAGAGGCCACCTTGAGCCAGCATCCCCCACAACTTCTCACCTGGAAACTTTCAGATTGTATATCCTGGAAGTGGTTAAACCCTCCCAGGATACCAGCTGGGGGTAACACAGCCTCCACAAAAGCCATGGCTTATAAAAAGCTATATTCCTGAAAGAAAAGAAAAAATAATAAGGTAGTATCACATCTCTCAAATCTTTGCTTACTTCTAGCTACACACTTCTTCTTAGGTATAAAAGTTTGCTGTTACTCTCTCATAAAAACATCACCACTTCCCTTATTCAAGAGCAAACCTTTTACTTTAGGTGTTACCATCAATATTTTTCTTCTTTTAATTCTTTCCTTCGTTTGTCAGTTTGAACAAGACAGAAGACTAAATGAAGCTACCTAAACCAATCAAAAGAAGGGGGTGTGACTAGTGAAGGAACAAGCTGCAGCTGGATTAGGATTAAACATAATCAACTTGTTTGCAGCACATTTATTAGTTACTTTCTTTAAATAAGAGAGATAAGGATGAATTCACAGTTCAGTCAGTAATCACCTTTCATTTATTTATATTTTATATATATTTATATAAATTATATATATAATCATATGTTATTTATATGAATTTAGTTTATTTAGAAAATAGAATTATTACCAGTAAAATATTATTTTACCCCTTGAAAGGAATAATGTGGACCAAATAGTTCTAATCTGGACTGTTGTTGAAGTAAAAAAATAGATCAAACTATAATATATATTATATGCATGTTACAAATATAAGAACTAAAGGAAGGCATATAATTTCCAATTTTCTAACACTTTCAACAACCAAGGTTATTAGTAAAAATATTTTTCATAGCTATTTTATTGAAGGGGGGGGAGAAGATTGTTTAGTATCTAAAAACTACAATTTAAAACCCATCAGGGCCTGCAGTCATATGTACCTACTCAGAAGTAATTTGTATTAAATTTAGTTGGATTATATTCCAATAAAGATTATATCATTGCATCTCAAAGCCCTTTAAGACTTTGTGCAATACATAATGCAATTTTTAAAATATACTTCTAGAATACCTCACTAACTTCCACAGGCTCTAATTACAGAAAGGTCTTGGTAAATAAAGTTCGAGTTTTGGGATGTCTCTAAGAAAACTATCTGCAGATCTAACAGGCAGTGAATCACCAGTTTTACATATGCAAATTTAAAGTAGTCTGGCTTACTGAGTTTTGAAAGAATTTTTCTATACCCTTTAGCTCAAAATACCATCAGGCTAAGGTCATGACTGAAAAGGAACCTTGGAGCAACATTCATAATATAGAAGGTGATACAGTATTGTATAAGAAATAAAAATACATACTCCATTGATTATAAAGGAAATGAACCTTCATGGCTCATATTGTGCACACTATCAGAAAAAGGCTACAGGCATGGTGGGGGTGGGAAGGGTGTGGAGTTTTATTTGTAAAATCTCTACAATGGTAGATATCATAATCACAAAACACCCATTTCTCTGAAGCGGACTAATGAGTTGTTTTCCACTATTTCTCTTTGAAGCCCCCTAAGTGCTTCCTACCTCCCCAGTTTAGTCATTTTTCTGGCTAAGTTGCCATATTAAGTTTTCAAGAAAACCCAGCACTTAGGAGAGTTAATAAAACTAACTATTGGATTACAAACCTATGGCCCCCAGCCAAGATGGCCATTTACTGTACCTGTGTGCTTTACTTCTTTTCATATGTTAAAAGTCTTTAGGAAAGCGTTGATTTCTTTTCACTGGTACATGGAGAGCAATTCTCAGGATATATGATCGTAATCCGTGCTTGCATATGGAAACTGAGAGATAATGGCTTCGTGACTAAGCATGCACTTGGAAGGAAGCCCTCAGTTCTTCTGACATGGCTGACTCTAATGATGCCAGAAGCAAATGGAGAAATCCTCTGAAGTGTGTGGAGGAGTTAGACTGTGGACTCTACCTTCATCTTGCTTCCCCCAGCCACACCAGCCTCCAGCTGATATTTTGGGCTCCAACTCTGCTCTGTAAGGACAGGACATCCAAAAAAGTGGGCAGCTTTCAGCTGGGGAAAAGCATAAATACAGATTGATAGCTTGCCTTGGTTTTGTATTAGGACAGTGGTGGCGAACCTATGGCACGGGTGCCAGAGGCGGCACTCAGAGCCCTCTCTGTGGGCACACGCGCCGTCGCCCCAGTCCTAGGCCTTCCGCTGGGTTTTATAAAACCTTTTCGCTTTAGGCCTCCGCCGCCGTGTGCAAAAAAAAAAAAGATTCAATCAATCAGTCAATTTCAACTTCTCGCGGGGGAAAAAAAGATCTTGCAAAGTTGGAATTGATTGAACTTTTTAGTCCCACCCAGTCTGCCGTTACCACCGCAGCCACGCCCACCCAATGGGCCACACCCACCCGGCACCCGACGATGCATAAATGGGTTTTGGGTTGCAGTTTGGGCACTCGGTCTCTAAAAGGTTCGCCATCACTGTATTAGGAGGTCTCAGGGGGTCTGGCAGCAGACTCTGTTCTGATACAGTATTGAGGGCTAACAGTGTTTTGCCATTGAGAGGAGAGACACCTTAAAAAGAGGATTGCATGGCCTTTGCCAATGAGACTGAGAAGGAAAATCAATCATGGACAGGAATGAAAGTCTTAAGGCAGGGCTGGCATAGACTAGCAAACTAATGTGATTCATTTATGATTTAGTATGAATGCAGAAACATGCAGGAGCTGAGTAAACTATGGTTAGACAAACTCTGTGAACACAGCAATTATATGAGGATGGAGAAAAGTTCCTAACTTCAAACATGCACACTTGGGTTGGATTCTGTGTCTTTAATTATTTTGAAGGGATAAAATAAAAATGGTCTGGCATAATACTAAAATGTGAAAATGTGGTTTGCCATAATATTAAAAGCTCAAATTGAGGATGAAAAGATGAAGGGAAGAAGTGTTTATTTTATACAAGGTGCATGTATAACATTGATACTTTTGCAGGATCCAATCGGGGTTGGTCACTGGGACCAGAGGTTTAGTCTTCTGAGCTTTTGGACTCATGCTGGAGTCCTTCCTCAGGGAACTTCTCTCTAGCAGAGTGTATTATTACCCTGGAACACGTACATTTCCCTTCATTCATTGATACTTTTCCTCTTTGGATATGTTGACTTGCCAGATTGTGAGAAAGAAATTTAGATTTTAAAAATCATTACCTGAAAAATATGTCATTAACACGATGGATCAAATACTGTATAAGTCTAGATTTGGCCCAAACTGATCATTGTACAAAAAGCTTTCTACCCAAGAGAAACATAAAGAATGAAATGTGCTTATACTCTTTAGTAAGACCAGACTTGGAATAGTGCATCCAATTTTAGTTACCATAGTACAAAAAAGATATTGAGACTCTAGAAAGAGTACAGAGAAGAGCAACAAAGATGATTAGAGGGCTAGAGGCTAAAACACAGGAATAACAGTTGCAGGAACTGGGTATGTCTAATCTAATGAAAAGAAGGACTAGGGGTGACATGATAGCAGTCTTCCAATAGCTGAGGGGCTGTGATAAAGAAGAGGGGGGAAACCTATTCTCCAAAGCAGGGGTCCCCAACCCCCAGTCCATGGACTAGTACCAGGCTGCGGCATGCCAGCAACTGGTCCACACAAACAAGCAAAGCCCCATCTGCAGGATGCAGGCAGCACACAAAACCATGCCCCCTCCGGTCCGCGGAAAAACCTTTCTCCACGTAACCGGTCTCTGGTGCCCAAAAGATTGGGGACCTCTGCTCCAAAGCACCTGAAAGCAAGACAAGAAATAACTTATGGAAACTTACAAAAGACAGAAATTTCCTGAGAGTGAGAACAATAAATCAGCGGAACAGTTTTTTTCAGAAGTTGTGGGTGCACCAATACCAGATTTTTTTAAAGAAGAGATTGGACAGCCATTTGTCCAGAATCATATAAATTCTCTGCTTCAGCAGGTGGTTGGACCAGAAGACCTCCAAGGTCCCTTCCAACTCTGTTATTCTGCTAATAGTGTTGCTGTAAATTAGGATCTAAAATATTCTAAATAGATTACTTCTCTTATGTATGAATATTTTCCACTTCAACATACACCAGTTTTTAACTATTAAAATTAAATGTAAAATTAAATATTTAAAAAAGTGGCTTTGTACTCTGACTCTGGAATTTGAACCAACAAATCTTTTTCTATACAGTTTTAAAAGGGGGAATGCTCTGTTCCCCCTTATTGCTTAGCAAAGCAAATAAAACAGATTAGGCAGGGAGCTTTAATTGTCCCTAACTCTTGTACAATATTCCTGATTTAGGTATAAAAAAGAAATCTAGAGAAATATGTACACTACTTATATAAAAAGGGAAAAGCCAAACAACATCCACCCTGGAGAACTTACTGGAAGGTTCTAAGCATTTATCTCTATTAAGTTGTTTGTTTGAATTGCAAAAATAACTTTAAAAAAGGCATCTGTTTTATTCATGAGCCATTTTTTTGCTCATCTTGCCCTGCATGCATAGACTAAAAGTAACCATAAACATGGAATACTATAATAGTAGAAGGGTGTCTATGCTTAAAGAATCCATTTTAACAAGTATTTTGTGCATTCACACTAGAAGCACAGTACGAGCAGACCACCTAATTTTTACAGGCTGAGCACACACAATACCGGTAAGCAACCAGATTTTTTCCTAACTTGGAAGGGGGGAGGAGGTTGAGGAAAACGATCGACCACCTCCTGGCGGCTTACCAATGGGGAGGTGGAAAGGAGGGCGGAGCCAACCCAGCTGCAACCAGCAAAACTAGACATGGATAAAACTGGAGATGTTGTGAAATGCAAACTTTATAATGAAGACAAACAACGGTTTCTGGCATTTTCAGAGGCACTTTGCCAGCAATGAAGCATGCTCAAAGGCATTTGCCCATAAGGAATGAACCAGCCCTTAAAAATGCGAAAGGGCTCAGGTTAATGTGAAAGCTCAGGCTACCATCCCACCTTTATTAAAGGATAAAGTGTTCGAGAGAGCCAGTTTGGTGCAATAGTTAAGGCACCAGGCTAGAATCCGAGAGACTCAGAGTTGTAGTTCTGCTTGAGGCATAAAGCCAGCGTGACTTTGGGCTAGTTATTTTCTC